CATACACATATATAGCAGTGAAGCTATATAAACACAGCAAAGCAGACAAAGGAAAGGACTGACTGGGTTGCATTCCAGAGTCAGAGATATTTTCACAGTCTCAGTTGGGGAATGTTAAAGGACTGACCAATTAACAACATCCCTGATCCCATTACAAAACCACACAAACACTCATTTAGGGCCAGATGACATGTATTTGAGTGGGAGAAGGGAGACAGGCAAATGGAATCACACACAGGGTTTCCTAGCTTGGACAGCACCTGGCTCTTTGCTGCTTATCTGATAATCTTCATATTCTACTTGATCATCACAGAAAAGTGGGCTAAAGCAGGTTTACCTGAGGTACGTGGGCCATGTGGGGTGGATTGGTGTATGCCGGCTGAACATGAGAAGGGTGAATTGTAAAGACGGTCTGCTGTGCTGCTGGGAAACTACTCTGCGGCGACTGTGTATTGGAGGCAGGTGTCATGGAAGGTGGGGTTGGTGCAAGACCTGCATGGTAGATGGCTGGCTGCTGCTGTGGACTGGCCAGATGGAGAGCCTGGGCAGCCTGGTGCTGATGGTGCTGCAAAGCAACGGGAAAGAATGGAGAAAACCATTTCTTTAATGAAAAGCAGTTAAGGATCACACACAAAGCTGAGCTTCTACACAGGAAAACAGGTCCCACCTGGGCCCATCTAAGATAAAAGGTGATGGCAAGTACAAGACAACATATAGGGTGGTAGGAGCAGGGTTGAGGGGATGGTGCCTCCTGTCCTGAAACATTTTTTGGGGATGCAAGCCCGAAGCTCAGCCTAGCAGTTACAAGCCACCACCAAGCAGAGGTAAGAAGACTGCTGCCACAGGAAATAGAGATATGTCAAAGAGATCCTTAGCTGCCTCTGTTAACAAATGTGATTAAAGATGATAGCAGGAAAAACCCCTATAAACATAAGAATAAAGTAAAAAAAATTAAGTCACAAGCAAATTCCTTACTTTATGTTAGATTTTTTAGTATCGATAAGTTTCCAGACTTACCCAATCACCTTATTCTCAATGTGTAGCTTAATGTGATTTAAAAACCAAACCAATGCCAGGGGCGCAAGCCTACAGAGTTGTAGCCTGGCTCCATGAGGCAGGGCAGCTAGGTGTTCTGATCACATGGTACCTAGCAACTTGCCTGGCACTGAGAAGAACACTCAGTCAGTAGGAGGAGGAGGCGATCCAGGAAGGCCTATGAAGTTTCCTTACCTGGACAGGACTGGGTGCAGGATGACTTCCCCCATGCTGGCTTTGCTGCTGTCCAGTGGGGGTTGCTGAAGGCTGAGGATGTGGAGTATGTGGGTGCAGGGCAGCATTGGGATGCGCATACTGCTGAGCAAGGGAGCCAGTGGAAACTGAAGCAAAAGAGAAAGGAGGGTTACAAAGTGGTGTGATGACTTAACTGCTGCTCCATGCCTCATCCACTGAGCTTAAGGCCAAATTTAAGCTATTACCAATCTCTATATCTGATTCCATTTAAACCATTTCCTTTTTCTTAAAAAAAGTGGGAAGTTACTGCTTAACAATCAGATTAGCATTTTATTATGGTAACACAGCTGTACCCATAATTAAAATCTAATCAATTTAAATTTACTCTTAAAATGGTCACTAGATTTTCCAGAAAAGGCAACTAAAAAAACTGAAAAGCATAGGCAAAAACAATTCTCTCTCTCTCACACATATACACACACTTTTACTTTAGCTCAAGGCTACCATCTGGCTAACCTCACCATGCTACTGCCCTGGAGATGCTGCAGTATCCCACGGGCACAGACGCTGTGCCATGGTGAAAGGGGAGTCTTCAGAGCCAAATGACCACATCTCTCAAATGATCACAGACTCCACTCTGCCCCTCAGTTTGTTCCTGGGCCTCCCTGCTCAAGGAGCTCTCATCTTTGGCTTAATGAAAACTAGTAGATGGAATTACCTAAACTATGTAGAAAAATGAACTTGTTTTGAAACATCCTAGACTTAGGAAGAATTTAGTAGCTAGAGTAACTTCAAAAGGAATATGATAGGCCACTTTAAGTAAAAGTGTGTTAAACTTAAGAACCCAAAGCCAATTCTTTGTGCATCTTAGCACAGACCATATCTTGGTACGCAGCAGGGAGATTAATATAAATTCATTTGTTTATGTCTTCCCAAAACAGCAATTTGAGAATCAGAGCACAGTAAAATGGGTTCACTGCTTCCAGTGACTACTGACAACACACTGATATAAATCTAACCACTGAGCAGAAGACAGTGTCCTCAAGACACATCTCTAGCAAAGTGTGACTTTCAGCCTTCTCTCAAAATTAACCCAAAATCCTGAAGAAGCTAAGCCCAAACAATTCCAAAATAATCCCTCCTGTTCTTTCATCTGACATATTAGCCAATACAGACATACAGGGGTCTGATGGGGAGAAGCAAGCACTGCTTTGGGATAAGCCAGTCTAACAGGCAAGGCTGCCGTGAGTCACCAGCATAGATGACTCTGGGTATGTCCCATGTAAATGTTATGCAGAAGGTTAAGAACACACAGCAATACTGTAATACTTGACACTGTAGGACCAAGGGGGCTACCAATACTCCAGCCCAGTTGGTTATCTCTCCAACTATATGTGTATCTTTTAAAAGAGGGAGGGTGAGGCAAAGAACTAGGACTAGGACACCATCGTGGGCGTCAACATTCAGTAACACCTGGATTCAACAGACCACTTTTGTTTATACACTGGGAATTTCCTTACCTATGAGAGTTAGCAGACACTGGGAACATATTAACAAGGAATAGTGTGGGAACCATGCTCCAGGTGTTTTTTAAGAAGAACCAGTGACTTTGCTGGGAGCTGGGAAAAAAAATATGCTAACTACTTTCTTGAGCTCCATAGTCCTTTGAGTCTTTCAGAGTAGTCAGTGTCTTTCTTCTAATTCCTTGGCTTATTAAAAGGCCATTCTTCACCACCACACTCATTAAGTTAACTTATAGGTCCCCCCACATTATCCAGGTACAGACTTAGTCTAAAGACTGACATAAATTTTGAACCTGACTTTTTTTTAATAAAGTTTTTTTCAAATTTATTGTTACATAATAGCCAACTGTAGCTAGTGGCTACCAATTAAACAGCACAATTTCTAGCACACTTCTATTATCACAAAAAGTTCTACTGGAGAGTGATGTCTACAGTCATTCATGTTCCCTTATTTTGAAACCATTAGCATTAAACTCCTACCCACAAGCTTCCTAAATGCACCTGTAACAATACCAAGTCTGTCTGGGGGGAAAGCAACTCCTGAATCCCAAGTTCTATTTATGAGGTTTAATAATGACAGAGTATAGAATTTCATAATTTCTATTTATATTTTTAACTATTCAAGAAATTTTTGTACTGAAAAGTTTTAAATTTCACTTTTAATTACCTTCTAAGCAAGATACTAAGAAAATGTGAAGTAACAATAAATTTTTAAAAATAACTCTAGCTCAGAGGGAGGAACCAAGATGGCAGCATGAGCAGAGCAGTGGAAATCTCCCAAAACCATATATATTTTTGAAAATTCAACAAATACAACTATTCCTAAAAGAGAGACCAGAAGACACAGAACAACAGCCAGGCTACATCTACACCTGCGAGAACCCAGCACCTCGTGAAGGGGGTAAGATACAAGCTGCAGCCCGGTGTGACCCGAGTGCCCCTCACCACAGCTCACGGCGGCAGGAGAGGAGTCAGAGTGGGGAGGGAGAGGCAGCCCAGGTCTGCTAAACAACCAGCCCCAGCCATCTGCACCAGAGCGCAGACACACAGTGCCTGGTGTGCTGGATACTAGGGAAACAGGACAGTAAGACCTGTGAGCGGGTCCTGCAGGCAGCGACCCTGGGACAAAAGAAAAGTGAGTGTCCTTTCAAAATCTTATAGGGACAGGGGCCTCATAGCTGGATGGAAGTGCCCCGGGGCAATCAGTCTAGTAGCTGGGAATCCTGGGGAACTCTGGGTGCCCCAACTCCCTGGGTGGCAGCACAGCTCAGAGGCCCCTCACGGTGATAAACAGCCTCCCGCCCATTTCACCACCGGCGCGACTCCGCCATAGCGACAGTGGCCATACCCACAGCAACCAGACAGAGCTTCTTCCACAGCGGCCATGCAAGAATCAGACACCCTGTCTGCACGCAGCTACCCAGCACAAGCTGCTAGGGGTCTCTGTTCTCCCAGGAGAGAGAGGCCACAAACTAGCAAGAAGGGACGATCTCCCAGCTGACACACGCACCAGCTCCCCACAACTACCTCTATCACCATAAAAAGGCAGAAGAATTTAGCCCAGTCCAAAATAGTCCAGACAACCCCTGAGAAGATAGACCTAACCAATCTCCCTGAAAAAGAATTAAAAACAAAGGTCATAACCATGATCTTCAGAGAAATATGTAAGAGCTAAGGGATGAAGTCTGGAAGGAGATTACAGAAATGAAACAATCTCTGGAAGGATTTAAGAGCAGACTGGATGAGGTGCAAGAGGCCATTAATGGAATAGAAATCAGAGAACAGGAATGCAGAAAGGCTGACACAGAGAGGGATAAAAGGATCTCCAGGAAGGAAAGAATATTAAGAGAATTGTGTGACCAATCCAAATGGAACAATATTCGCATTATAAGGGTACCAGAAGAAGAAGAGAGAGAAAAAGGAATAGAAAGTGTCTTTGAAGAAATAATTGCTGAAAACTTCCCCAAACTGGGAGAGGAAATAGTTGCTCAGACCATGGAAACACACAGAACTCCCAACAGAAGGGACGAAAAGAGGACAACACCAAGACACATAATAATTAAAATGGGAAAGATCAAGGACAAGGACAGAGTATTAAAGGAAGCCAGAGAGAGAAAAAAGGTCACCCACAAAGGAAGACCCATCAGGCTATCATCTGACTTCTCAACAGAAACCTTACAGGCCAGAAGAGAATGGCATGATATGATTAATGCAATGAAACAGAAGGGCCTTGAACCAAGGATACTGTATCCAGCATGATTATCATTTAAATATGAAGGAGGGATGAAATAATTCCCAAACAAGCAAAAGTTGAGGGAATTTGCCTCCCACAAACCACCTCTACAGGGTACTTTAGAGGGACTGCTCTAGATGGGAGCACTCCTAAGGCTAAACAGATGTCACCAGAGAAAATAAAATCACAGCAAAGAAAGGACACTAACTAAATACTAACTCAAGACAAAAAATAAAATCAACTACCCACAAAAGCAGTCAAAGGAAACACAAAAAAGCACAGAACAAAACACCCAACATACGAAGAATGGAGGAGGAAGAATAAGAAGGGAGAGAAAGAATCACCAGACACTGTTTATAATAGCTCAATAAGTGAGTTAAGTTAGACAGTAAGATACTAAAGAAGCTAACCTTGAACCTTTGGTAACCACAAATCTAAAGCCTGCAATGGCAATAAGTACATATCTTTCAATAATCACCCTAAATATAAATGGACTGAATGCACCAATCAAAAGACACAGAGTAATAGAATGGATAAAAAAGCAAGACCCATCTACATGCTGCTTACAAGAGACTCACCTAAAACCCAAAGACATGCACAAACTAAAAGCCAAGGGATGGAAAAAGACATTTCATGCAAACAACAGGGAGAAAAAAGCAGGTGTTGCAGTACTAGTATCAGACAAAATAGACTTCAAAACAAAGAAAGTAACAAGACATAAAGAAGGACATTACATAATGATAAAGGGCTCAGTCCAACAAGAGGATATAACCATTATAAATATTTAGGCACCCAACACAGGAGCACCAGCATATGTGAAACAAATACTAACAGAACTAAAGGAGGAAACATAATGCAATGCATTCATTTTAGAAGACTTCAACATGCCACTCACCCCAAAGGATAGATCTACCAGACAGAAAATAAGTAAGGACAAAGAGGCACTGAAAAACATACTAGAACAGATGGACCTAATAGACATCTATAGAACTCTATATCCAAAAGCAACAGGATACACATTCTTCTCAAGTGTACATGGAACATTCTCCAGAATAGGACCACATAGTAGGCCACAAAAAGCCTCAGTAAATTCAAAAAGATTGAAATTCTACCAACCAACTTCTCAGACCAGAGAGGTATAAAACTAGAAATAAATTGTACAAAGAAAGCAAAAAGGCCCACAAACACATGGAGGCTTAACAACATGTTCCTAAATAATCAATGGATCAATGACCAAATTAAAATAGAGATCAAGCAATATATGGAAACAAATGAGAACAACATCACAAAATCCCAACTTCTGTGGGACGCAGCAAAAGAGGTCTTAAGAGGAAAGTATATAGCAATACAGGCATACTTAAAGAAGGAAGAACAATCCCAAATGAATAGT